TCCACTACACAGATCAGACTCAGAGTGATCCTCCTGTTTTTAGCCTCCCAAGCGCTGGGATTACAGGCTTGCATCACGTCTCAATCACCATCTCAGCGTGCCTTGGGGAGTGGGGTGGGTCCAGCACCACAGCATGCCAGAGGGATTGAACCCCTATCCCCTGCATCTGCCTAAGCAGGCACTTTAATCCGCTGAGCTATCCAGTCGGACCTTATTACAGTGTTTTTGACATGCTTAAAATACAACAAAAATTAAGGATTTTTAAAATAACCATATAACATTTTAAATTAGGTCTGAGAAATTAGTTCCATAAACTGAAGTAAGTTGCTGTTTATAACATTCTCAATTCAGTGAAGGATAAAACCAAGAAACAATGAAAATAAATGATCATACCTGAACATCTGAGAAAATTTCCCCTCTAACTTATAAATTTAATCAGTTGCTCCTGATTCAATAAATAGAGTATTTCAGTTAGGGATACTTCTTGCCACCACACATACAATTTTGAAACTATACATAAAATTTCTTAGAAGCCCATACCTAAAAGTTAAATTTGGTGATGGTGCTAGAAAGAGAGATTGGGGACCCCAAGGACCACTGAGAAACGTACTAAGAAAATTTATTTATTTTGTAAATTTTGAGACAGGGTCTTGTTAAGTTGCACAAGCTGGCCTCAAACTTGTGATCCTCATGCCTTAGCCTCCTGAGTCACTGGAATGATAGGTAGGCAACATCACACCTGGCTAAAAGTTAATAATCATGCAATCAGAAAGCCTTCTTAGTATCAAACAACTGAAGCACAAAATTCTGACTAAAACAACTCTAATATTAAGCAGTATTTCTACAGTACAATTTATACTAGCTGAATATCGATTTAACAAAAACAAGCAAGAATGACCTTATCCTGGTAAAACTCAAAATGTTGTTTCTTCAACATTTTAGAAGGCAGGTACTACACTCTTCCATCTGCTTTGTTCTATATGTTCACTCTCCAAAGGAAAATTAAACCCTTCTCAAGAAACGGCCAAAATTTCATTAATCACAACAAGCTACAAATCAGAGTAGTAGCACGATACTAGAAATAGAATAATACAAGGAACACCCTTGGTTATGAACTTAAACGAACAGGAGTGTATGTTGACAGAACAAATCTATACAGCATGTACAGGAATCCTATTGAATAATTCCTTTCTCACTTACCTGATGAGCTCTCAGTAAATACTGTTAAGGTCTGTCCTCCAACACTTTGCAAGACAAATGGATGTTCTCTAGGAGCGCTGACTGAAGCTGGCTTTCCGCCAATATCATGAATATTTGCAAGATCTTCATTCAAAGTAAATGACACCTAACAGACACATTAAGCAGAACTTATTACAAAAGACATTTATATTCAAAGTACCTATACATGAATTTTGATTATAAATCACATATTTTTTTAAAATGTCAATCTTTTATTAATCATTTTATTAAGCATTTTTTAAACCTCACAAAATTTCCTTAATACTTATCTTTGCTAAATGAGTGAATATTTTAAGAATATATTGAAACTGATTATGTTTGTTTTTTGGGTTTTTTTTATTTTTTATTTTTTTTATTTTAGGGAAGGGTCCACAAGGTATTCAGGGTCTCACTACTAGATCAGACTATCAGACTCATAGTGATCTGCCTATTTACAGCCTCCCAAGAGCTGGGACTACAGGTGTGCGCCACCACCCCCAGTCTCAATTGCAGTCTCTGCAAGCCACAGGGGCAGAGCCGGCACAGCAGGCCCAGGGATTGAATCCCCAGCCCCTGTGCCTGCTTGCAAGCACTTTAGAAATTGATTATATATGCAAGGGGTAAAAAGTGATATTTACTCTAAAATGCTTACTTTTATGTATAGGATATATTCTTTTGTTGTTCTTCTTAATGACTACTGTACAAGTATATGGTAAGGTATCATTTTTAAGATTCTAACAAATACAATTAAATATTTAACTCAATAATAAGGCTTAGAATAAAAAAAACTTTTTAATTAAAAAGCCATTTATTAAAAACGGCTTTTATTATATATACAGATCTCCCCAAAGGAACATCATATTTACATTAAAGAAATCTATAAACATAAAATTACTGATTTCCTAACCAGGTAGAAAGATCATCATATACATGTATTAACTATTACTGTACTATGTGATAGGTACTGCACATTATAAACCAGGCTCACTAGGGCAAAATTTTTTTGTGGGAGGCACCTAGAATCAAACCATGACCTGGTGCTTGCCAGGCAAGTGCTGTGCTGCTGAGCGATATCCCTGGCTCCTAGGGCAAAATTTAAAGACCTCAAAAATGTTCAAATCAAATAAATGCCTTTGGATTACACTGAAGTAATACCAAAATATTTCTGAAATCACACTCACTTTTATAGACTGAAAGAAGGGATAGTAAGGTCAAAGATGAAAAATACTAGGAATAAACAAGTAGAAAAGGGTCTATTCACACAAAGTTGGCGTTTATGCCTTTATGTGTTCCTGGTCATCAGCCGTTCACTTGATGGAGTTTGTCCAGAATACAAACAATCACTTCTCTTAACTATTAGTAATGAACAGTAAAACAATCTCACATTTTAAATAAAATATTCATATAAATAATCTTACCTCCGTCCTTCCTTGATTCCTAAGAGAAGAAAGGAAATATTTTAAATTACTTAGATTTTATATTGCGTTAAAGAATGAGAGTTAAAATAGATATTATTTCACTTTACATAAATTACATTTAAAGACTACTGTCCTAAATACATTTTCACCAAATAATAATTTTATTATAATCCTAATCTTTATCTTTGAGCATTTTTTGCCTTTAGTAGCAGGTGAATGCAGATTAATAAAATGGTTAAACAGTACAATATAGTCTACCTGAAGGGATTTCACTTAACCAAAGCAAGCTTAAATGATCAAAAATTATGAAATTTAATAATCTCCATTAGAAAAAAATATATATGATTAGCCAAAAACAGTTTTTAAGTAGCCTTATTTTCACCAGTAATACCAGTGAAATCTTGGTAGACACCACACTATTTCCTATGTATTTGAACTGTTTTGAAATTACCATTGTTTTTTTGTTTGTTTGTTTTTTAAGAGAACACTGCCAGGACCAGATAGGAGAACACTATCTCCGCCATTTTAGACCTTAAAGGATTGCTCAACAAAGAGATGGCTCTGATCTGAGCCTTGATTATGAGTGTTCAGATTTGGCTAGGAGAAAAGCAAAACAAGCCTGGTGCTAGATATCTGTTACAGTGTGAGGTACACGCCCTGTCCTCAAAGGTTCCAGTCTCACGAAAACAGACAGACCCAATGTGTGAAAAACTATTAAAACCCTTACGCAAATTAAATAAGACAGTTGTATTTTGTCAAAAACTATGAGGCACAATATACTGTGGGAAATACAAACTAGAAAGCCAGTAAAAGATGAGTTCAATGAGGGTTGAGGCCAAGGGATTCCGGGTTAAGGGACTAGCTCAAGTAAATATCTGAAGTGAGAACCTATCTAGCACATTCCTTCTGACATCAGAATGGCAGCCTGAGGTCAAGGGGTCTTTCTTTTAGGCCATACAAAGTAGTCTGGATTCTGGACTCCACCTACTACAGGATTTTTTACTCTTTCACAATGTTAAAATATGTCAATCTCCTCTTTGCTCTTTGCTGGGAAAGTATCTACAAAAGAGGTGAGAACTTTTTTTTTTTTTTTTTTTTTTTGTGCAGGGTCTCACTGTGCAGTTCAAATTCAGTGATCCTCCTGTTTTTAGCCTTCCCAGCACTGTGATTACAGGCGTATGTTACCATGCCCCAACTCTGTCAGTGGCTCAGCAAGCCTGGGGGTCAGATCAGCAAGCCTGGGGAGTGGGGCGGGCATGGCATGTGGTGTCTGGGATTGAACCCCGACCCTGTGTTTGCCTAAGCAGGACCTTAGTCTGCTGAGCTATCTTGCTGGCCCTGAGAACATTTTTAAATGTCACATAAAAATATGAATTTCCAACTTCACTTACAAGAGTGGAGGACGTGGCAACAACTGGCCTTCAAACCAGTTCGACATGTTTTTGGGATGGGCACTGATTCACCATAATTCCCTCCCTATCACTCCTGAACTTAGCTTCTACATGCATTTAATATAGTTGCCTTCCAGTCATGGGTGCTGTGGATGAAGCAAAGCCAAAGTCACATAGAATGAAGGTAAACACAAAAATTCACATAAAAAAAGAGATGAAGGCTCGAACTAGCTGTGGAATGCATAGAGGAGGGGCATGGCAGGTCATGAAGTCGTTAGAAGTGACAAGATATGACTCAAGGTGGGCAGCAAAGGACAAAAGATGAATTAAACATCATACTGACATTTTCAGTCTGGATATGGAGAAAACTAGGTAACTAGAAAATCACTCATATTCAATTATGGAACACAGAAGGAGAGGATAACTTTATTTTGACACGTGTAATTACAAAAGCATCTTAGCTGAAATTGTAAAACACTGCTGAGCTCTCAGATGACATTTTCTAGGAAAAAAAGTTAATTCTTGAAGACTTAAAACTTACTTTAAGAGCTGGTAAGATAACTCAGCAGACTACACACGTACTTAAGCATCTTTTTTTCTTTCTTTTAAATAATTCTTAAATCTAACACCAACAAAGCCATGAGTTTTTACTATCAGATAGCTAATAATGATAGGGCCATCTTGTCCCACCCAGTTAAGAAAATCAGCCAAATAATTTTGTTTTCAACAATGAAGTTTTCAACTATGTTTGAGGATTGCCATTGTTTTGCTTATTCATACCTCAATTTCATGAATAATTTACCTCAAAAATTTGTAGAGTGGGTTGAGAAGGACAGTAACAATTCAACAGGAATGTAGAGAATATTCCTGGGGCTGAGTGAACAACCTAGGGTATGGTGTACGAGTCAAGTCAGAAAAGAAGGGTTATCTCCAAAAATGAGTTGCTCAAGCAAAAAGTATGTCAGAGTCTAGCAAGTGAGGACCTCCACAGAGACAACCTGAGGCAGGCTGTGCAGTGAAGCAGAAGCAGGCCTCTCATGAAGGAGATGGAAGGAGAGCCTGACTGAGCAAAGAAGGCATCCCCACAAAGGGCAGCAGGAGTGGGAGCCCAGTGGGGGTAGCTATAGCCCAAGTTGCGTGATGAAAGCACTCACATACAGGGTGAGCAAATAAGAGCAGAGGTCTAAACAAATAATGTATTAAGGACAAACAAGTAGGTTTTTCACTTTCATAAAAAAGGTACAAATATGAAAAGGCAAAAAAAAAATTGGAACATATTCTATGAAACTGAATAATTATATAGTCCTTTGACTTTGTGATTTATTTTTATTTTTAATTCATTTTAATGAGAAAAAAATAAAATAGCAATGAAACAGTTTCAAAACAGGTTAGTAGGACAGTTAGAATAACTGATACACTGCATATTGTTGTCTTTGTAGTTATTCAGAGGACCAGATGCAGACATGATATCTTGTCTAAAGCAATATTAGTACCAACCTTCTCAATGAATGAACCAAGAGAAAACAGCTGTATATTCTATCTTGTGTATACAAACAGATAGATAGATAGACTTTTATATATACATAACAAAAGTCTTTATTTATATCCCCCTTTCATAAGTATTCTCTCTTGAGGGAGAGAGGTGGCAAGCAACAGGTAACTGGAGTGAACTAGTCTTCCTAGAAAACTTATTTTTTTCTTCTTGTCTCCTGTTTTCTTTTATTACCTTAAAAAGAAAATTTACTCTAAAGAGAATATAGGGCTGGCCAAATATCTCAGTGGATTGAAGCACCTGCAAGCAGGTGCAGGGGCTGGCAGTTCAATCCCTGGGCCTACAAGGGTAGCCCTGCCCCCGGCAATTGAGACTGGGTGTGGTGGCGTACATCTGTAATACCAGCTCTTGGGAGGCTGTAAACAGGCAGATCACTACAAGTCCGATCTAGTAGTGAGACCCTGAACACCCTGTAGACCCTCCCCTAAAATACAAAATAAATAAATAAATAAAGTATAACAATAATTGACACTTTGTGATTTTCAGTACATACAGACGTAAAGGCATGTGTACATGCACGTGTGTGTACACATGTATATACATTCTCTTACTCTGCTCCCAATCCTGGAGCAGCCAGGACTGTAATATTCAAATCTTATTTACTAAATATCATTCTCCTCTAAAAAGGAGAACTCCCTGGAGAAACAGCTAATCCAGTGCACAGATAGAAATACATAGGAAGAGTCTAAAATATCTCCCAATCTCAAAAAGTAAGAAATGGTGCTGGATATGGTAGTGGACTCAGAAGGCTGAGGGAGAGGGTTCACCTCAAGTCCAAGGCTCTTGAGCTTCATATTAAGTTCAAGTCCAGCCTGCATTACATAATAAGATTCTGTCTCAAAAAGAAATACTCAAAAAATGATGAGGTCAGGGCTCAGTGGTACAACACTTGCCTACCAAGCTGGAAGCCCTGAGTTTGGTCCTCTGCAACAAAAAACAAAAGAAAAAACCTCCCCTAAAAAACAATTCAACCAAAAAATTATAGTTGGGGGGGAAGACAAGGACACATCAAAAGATCACAACTCACATCAGTGAACTGT